AAGTGAGGAGAGTGGTGAGAACAGCAGAGAGGATCAGGGCCCAACTTCCCTCTATTAAAGACATTTCATCCCAGCACCGCATGTCCCGAGTAACATCATCAATGACCCTTCACCCCCACCATGGACTGTTCTTCCTGTTGCCCTCTGGGAAGAGGCTTCAAAGCATCTGATGCAGGGCCAGCAGATTCCATAACAATTTTTCCCCAATGCCATTAGACCACTGAATGTTTTGTAAAATGGGTTATTGTATTGTATTTTATTATATTTATTAGATTTTATTATTATATATGAAAAAAGACAAACTGAAATGTTAGAACTGTAAGTTTACAGTCATATGTTTTTATTACTGTTTTTATATATTTTTTAGTATTTTTCAAGGCTGCACAAAAAAGAAATGAAATTTTTCAGAGAGCTAAAACGAAAATAATTTTTGTTTTACACTTGTGTAAACAAAATGACAAATAAATCTGTCTAAGTCTAAGGTAGATAGGTAGGCACACAGGCAGGCAGGCAGGCAGGCAGGCAGGCAGGCAGGCAGGCAGTTTGTGTGGGTTGTGTTTTTGTTTGTTTTCCCTCCACCACCAGGTGGTTCTCGTTGGACTTCTCACACACCTGCGGATGGTTCCCCTTACCGGAGGACTCTTAAGCTGCTGACTGCCACTACCTCGACGCCAGAGTGTTTGCCAGTTTTGGGTACCCTAGCCAAGCTGAGTTTTGCTGAGTCAAACTAAGTTTTTGTCAACCTGAGTCTTAACCTTGTTGTTTTTGTCTTTGCCTCTCGGCAGGAAGTCATCCTGCAAATTGGATGTTTTGGACATTCTCCCCCTGGAAGGATCGTCTGAGTTTCAAACTGAGCTGGAGGTTTGGATCTACTTTTCCACAAGGGATTGTTTGAGCTACACTCTGAGCAGGGGATTCATCTCCACAAGAAACAGTTCAAGTACCATTGGAAATGTAAGTGGCAGTCAGCTCCTCCGTTCCTCAAGGAAACACCTCAACTTGGGTAAACCCTGTCTGCCCTCTAACGAGCAACTCAATTACTGGAACAACCCACACCGACTGGATTCAGAGAAAGACACCTTTTACTGGAAACGTGAGTCCCATTGCCTTTATTCCCTTTTGCAAATCGACGATCAAATTTCCCACTGTGCCTGAACTAATCACAGGAACTTCCCCCTTCACATTTCAGTCCCGGTTCGCCAGTGTTCAGAGCAGCACTGGACCCATCTCTACCAGTTCTCAATAAACCTGTTAAACCTTCCCTTGGTCTCTCTGTTTGGTTTCCTGCATGTGGGTCAGACCTTGGATAAAATCATGACAGTAGGTAGGTAGGTAGGTAGGTAGGTAGGTAGGTAGGTAGGTAGGTAGGTAGGTAGGTAGGTAGGTAGGTAGGTAGGTAGGTAGGTAGGGTGTTATTGATCCCTTTTGGAATGTTATTTGAATACAACATTACAGTAAATTCAAAAAATACAAAAAATAAGAATAAATAAGATAAGGCAAGCACACAGAACAGAATAATGGAATGTTGTCACAGGACGGTGTGCAGTGTGACGGTGTTTGCCCATAGTCCTTCTCTCTGCACCCTCACAGTTTCAATGGAGAGACATATACAGTTATTATATTTAATCTACCCAAGTATTTTAATGTTTATGAAGTCTTTTTTATGAATGATGCATTTTTTTCCCAACATCAAGGAAACGTGTGGCACAAATTGAAACAAATCATTCCTGACATTTAGGAGTTGAAATATTAATCAAAAGTTGCTTTGTCTTGGGTAAACATGGTCTCTGGTTGCAGATTAGAGCATAGAAGGAAATTCTTTCAAACTGTCACCACTTGTTCAATAAAAGGTCATGACATGAAATCATGATTAACGGTGGACTGGACAACGGTATTTTGGACCATCTTGCTTCTCTTAAGAGGTTTTTATTTGATTTTGCCTTTGGGTTCCTTCGGTAAGGTTTTAAGGCTTTTGGAAATAAATCTTTCATGTTGAAACTTGTTACATAAAAACTTTTCCTTTGAAAAGATTTTCCTCAGAGAAATTCAGGATGGACCTGTTTTATAATTAAGTCGCATGTAGGCTGTGACATATTACAGACTGAATACACCTTTTACAATCAGAAGACAGCTGGAGGTACACAAGTAAGTATATCTTCTTTCTTACTAACTCAAACCTAAAGAAAAATCTAATAGATTATGTCACTTTGTGGTTTAAGGGTGACAGTTCTGTGTGAAGTCCTTAAGCCTGCTGAATTAATTATAAATGTAATTTTATGGAGAACTTTGCTGTTTCTGTGAAAATGTACAATATTTACTTTACCTTAGAACAAATGAAATGTCCTAATTTATGGTTCTCCTTCTGGTTTCAGGTCAATTACCTGCGATCCCTGAAGTTACCTTTGAACCACAGTCTGACTTTGAGTCTTGTAGGGTATATTATTGTCCGCTTAAGTTTCTTCTGAAACCAGAAACTGTTTTTCTCTCAAGGAACAGTGTTTTTTTCTTGACTAAGAGACACCTGGCAGCTCTGCAACCATGGGTGAATGGGACTTCCTCGGTGGCCTGTTTGAAACTCTCCAGGCCCACTCACCAATGCTTGGACGTTTCTGGCTCTTCTTAATGTTAGTGTTTCGGATAGTGATACTGGGAACTATTGCCAGCGACTTGTTTGAAGATGAACAAAATGAGTTTTCCTGCAACACTCTCCAGCCGGGCTGCAAGCAGGTGTGTTATGATATGGCTTTCCCCATCTCCCAGTACCGATTCTGGGTGTTTCATATCGTCCTGATTGCTACGCCATCCATGGTTTTCCTCATGTATGCCACTCATCATCATAACAAAAAGGCCTCACGCCCTAAGACGGCACGAAATAAAATTCAGGACATAATCGAAGATCGCCGCTTGAGGAGGCTGTACATCGTAAACGTGATCTTTCGACTCGCTGCTGAGGTGGGCTTCTTGGTGGGCCAGTGGTGGCAGTACGGCTTCAAGGTGGAAGCACAGTTCCCCTGTAGCCGGTTTCCCTGCCCCTACACAGTTGACTGCTTCACCTCCCGCCCTGCAGAGAAGACAATCTTCCTCCTCTTCTACTTTGCTGTGGGGGTCCTATCAGCATTTTGCAGCTTGGCAGAACTTTTCTACAGCTACACCAAGTGGTTCTGCTTCAGCCAGGAACAGCTTGATCAGGAACTCTGCGCCAGTCAGAACCTGCAGAACCTGGAACAAGATGAGTCAGACGAGAAGCTAGAGGAAAAGACGTCAGACAGTGGAGGCAGCAGCACAGGATTAAAGAGAGGATCAGTGAAAAAAAGCAGCAAAAAGGCCTCCGGCAAGAAAAGCAAGAGAGGAAAATATGTGAGCGCCAGGACACTAATGGTGTGAGTGGCAATTGTCACATTCCAACCATTTCAAGTTAATATAGACTGAAAGGCTGGAATTGGAAGAAATATGTTTCTTTTGTGTCATACTTCATTAGCTGCTTAGTTTAGATTTAGCTAAGTTTGAGCTAATAGGAAAGTAGGAAAGATTCTTTATCTTAAATTCTATTTGAAAATGTGCTATTCATTGGCAAGATGTTGGGTTTGTTTATTGTACATATGTCAGATAATTTTCTTTTAAATATAACTTTAATTTGACAAAGAAAAAAAAGAAAGTAACAAAAGTAAGTGATCTGCAGACCCAGAGAGCCACTTGTGCATCTGCTGATTTTACAGATAAAACTGATCCTATTTAAGTCAACTTAATGTAAAAGTGCATCACTTTAATTTCAAATCATTGTTAAAATAAAAGTACAAAATGAAACAGGTGAACAATCGGTTAGAGATTTTCATTCATCATTGGAAATGTATTTTCTTGAAGCACCATGTCCAGAACCGTCTTTACATCTCAATTTTGTTTAAATAGAAAATGCAAAGTCCTGTTTACTTAGAATTTTATAACACAGTATTATATTCTAACTTATTGTGAGTTATATTCTGTTTTAAAATCAAATATTTAGTGAACATTAACTTGAACTGTTTTAAAGTTCCAGTGTCATAAATGAGTGGACATTCAACACTAGAGGTAACTGAATCACCTGAACACATTAAACAGTATTTTTTAATGACCCATTTCTAAGGATTCCTGCAATTTTCTTTTTTTATATTTAGATCTATATTTTGAGGGCATGGGAGCTTTTATTTTTTTAGATAAAGTATATATACGGAAATATGTAGTTTTTGTTTTATAGGTAAGATGATGTTAATGACTTTGGGTTAATGTTAAAAAAAACTGAAATGTTAGGACTGTAAATTTACAGTCATATGTTTATATTCCTGTTTTTATATTTTTTTTAAACTATTTTTCAAGGCTGCACTTTTAAAAAAAATGAAATTGTCGAGAGAGCTGTTCTAAATGAAATTTCTTTGTTTTACAGTGGTGTTTACAAAATGACAAATAAATCTAAGTCTTAATGACTGCTGTGTCCTAGTTATTTTCTGCAGAAGTTAAGGGTGTGAAAGAGTTATACAGTTTCTGTTCTTCCATTTATTATTAAAAACATGATAGAGTATATCACATATTTCTGTACAGTGAATTAAATTAAATGTGGAATAGATTCAACAAAAATACGAGTTTCCTTTGTCAAGGGAAAGTCCCTCTTTTATGTATGGATTTACCAAAGGTTTGTTTCAAATATCCAGCAAAATATTAGCTCTGACTATTACCTGTAAAATTTGGTGCAAAGCTATAAAAATGTGGAGAACTTTATTTTTCATGTGTAAACTGGGGCTTTATTACATGTAATATCTCCTAATTTTATTTTTTTTTACATTACTGTTATTTTTAAAAGTGCACTATGAAATAAACTGGATGAAAAAAACATTTCATAATTAATATCATGATTTTGCAAAGTTTAAAACATCTTGGTGTGGCAATAACTCTATTTAGGACAAAGTCTTTTTCATGGCATTAAAAAAAGTAAAATATGAATAAAATAGCGCCGCTGCAGCCTTAATAAATCAAATCTATGAGAAGGAACAGATAAGAAAAAAAATAAATAAATTCCATCCAGAAATCAATTCAAACTAAACACTTTTCGTCGTCTCGTTTGACTTTAATGAACAGTTAAAGTCGAGAGTAGACGCAAAGCAATGGTAGATTTTTTTTTTTTTGTTTGTTTATTTTTTGGAGAAAAGTCTGAACTAGATTGGCAGTGGTCGTGAAATGTGAAATTTTTTGGTTTATGTTTTTCACTTCAATTTGTGGTGAGTCCGGAGCCCAGATCTATATCTTATAGTAATGATTAATTGATCCATAGAGTCTTTTGTCGTGTTTCTCCCTCAATTTCCAATGTAAACTCTCATAGCCCAACAAAGACATGCAGAAGGAAAGTAAAACTGATACATAAATAATAAAAAAGAAATAAAGTCTGAGAAGTAAAGCATTTTTTAAAGGCGTATTATATTATTATTTTATGTGATTTTTTTAATTTCTGTGTTTTCATTGATTTTTGTTCTGCTGGGAGGTTAACCTCTTATCCAGAATCAAGTCATGGTTCTATGTTTATGTCACTCATCCTTCCATTAAATCTGAACAGCTCTCCTGTCTGTAATGAAAAGTAGTACCACAGCATAATGCTGCGGCTGCCATGTTTTACCATAAGGACAAAATATGTGGGGTAATGTGCTGCTTTAGTTTTTCCACCAGTCACTTGGAGTTTCTCTTGCAGTTTTAATTTTTTGTTTCTTGGAGTTTATTGCTTTGTTTTCTTGCAAGAAGGAGCTGAGTTTGATTTCTGTCCTAGGGTTTTTTTCTCCATGGAGTATTCATGTTCTTTATGCGTGGGTTTGCTCCCAGTACTCCTGCCATAGGCATGGATACGTAGACAAAACTTTGGGCACTGGCATGAACGTTAACAACACCGCCATTTTGAATATGTCAGGGAGGAGCTACAGGGAGAGATCACCGATGGGAAAGGATGGCCTCCTTCCTGTGCTGCATGGAGGGGAATCAACCATTTTATAGTATAAACCCGATCTGCTGGCATTAACTTTCATCCATATTATAGTATTTTCTTGTAATTAATCAAAGAGAATTTACTCACTTTGGTGGAAATACAGTAAAATTCTTACTCATCATAATGAGAATTCAGCTGCAAAACCAACAAGAAACAAAATATTAATTTCTACAACTTAAATTGTTTATAGTCTGTAGGTTTCCCAAAGATAAAGTTTTAAGAAAGCAGTGGGAAGCAGAAGCGTGAAGACAAGCGTTAATCATGTTAAACATTTCTGTCACATGTGAACCTTTTGGTAGAGACACAGATCTACGACAGAGTATCAGGGCATATTATTTTAGAGAGAATAAATGACTAATATTAGCTAAGAGGGAAAAAGGAGGAAAAGAGAGTAGAATTCTAACAATATGAGAGAAATACAGTGGATAAAGTCAAAACATAAAGTCTATTGCCGAATCAGTTCAACGTCCTGGCAATATTTCACATATGATATTATATTTCGGCTTTAGATTATTTCATTTTAGTTAAGGTCATACAATGACAGTCATGCGATGCGTTGAATGCACCATTTATTTTCCATTGAATGTTTTGACTGTATGATCTGGTTGAATAGCCTTGAGGTGACGTGTTGTAAAATGGATTTTTTAAGGGAACTACTTGGTTTTGTCTGCGGGCTTAGTTTTATAAATACTTGGTCATAGGCCGACTCAGGTCTTTGTGGCACAGGTACATGCTTAGTACGAATCTATCACAATATTTAATAAATGAGACCCCAGATTTCTTGAAGTCACTTAATATCTCTGCAGCTCCTTAGGGTTCACCATTAGCCCGATGGCTTCGTCTCTGATCACTGCTCTGTTAGTTTAGGAGCTCGGTTCTATTTTTCAGATTAAACTGAGCTCTTCAAGGTGTTCAGACCTTTCAGCTATTGTTTCAGAACCTAATCAAGCTTCAAATTTCTTATATTTCTTCCTGACCAATCTTCTGCTCATTAATGCCAAAAAAGTAAAAAAAAAAAATATTCCACTGGACTTGGTTTCCAAGTTTGAAGACATTTCTCTTCCGATCCAGGAAGATTTTTTAATTCAAAATTGAGTTTGAGGTTTTATAGAGTGGATGAAAACAAAGCCTTGTTTTAGTTTAGAAAACATGCAAATTGAACCAGACGAACGGGTCCACCCCTTAGGAATGGGGGATCGTTAGGGTTATTTCATAGCCTGCAATACCCCATACCCCTTTATGTCTCTGGAAGGGGGGGCGTTAGGGGGACTTGCTGGCCTGGCTGAACAGGCGAGATGTTCTGTTCCCCAGTAAAGGGGTGGGGGTTGCGACGATAGCAGGAAGGAATCAATTTAATTGCTGCATTGTAGGTTTTTGAAAGCTGAAACCTGAGTCCATTTTGTTTTTTTCTTTCGTAACATAGATGGCTTCTTGCACGTCCCTTTCAAACCACCTTTCTTCTTTTTCTAAAATGTGAAAATTCTGATCATCAAAACAATGTCCTTTTCCATAAGGTGTAGATGTACCGCCGAGAAAAATCTTGAAAAAGCTTATTGGATGGGAAGCGAAACGTCTTCAAACTTGGAAACAAAGTCCAGTGCATCGTTTTTTTTACCTTTTTAAATGACTATGACCTGGATGATTGAGAATCTTCACCAGCACATCTGCTCATTAATGTTCTCTAACAAACTAATGAGACCTTCAATAAACAGCTGGATTTATGTTAGGGTAAATCTATCTCTGCCAGGTTCTATATTTTACAAATGATGAGACTTAACCCTTTATAGGACATCTAGAAGCACAACATCTATATCCAGCCATTCAGCAAAGATGCTGCTACATGGCTGTACATCTTATTATGGCATTTGGCCAATTAGATGAGCCCTTAAATGATAAATTACCTACTGTAAATAAACTTTAAAAAAAGTAAAAAAGTAAAGAAAAAAAGCTAACTGAAAAGTTAAAAAGCAAAGTTAAAAAGTTAATAAGCCTAGTTATATTTAGGTTTATTAACTAAAAAATGTAAGTGCCGGTATCAGCATTAATGCCTCCAAGGTTATGTTGTACCAAAACAAAAAAAAAAGTGTTTCTCTCACTCTGTGTTTTTCATACATTTCTTATCAAAGCACTTTTGCTATTTTTCTTAATATAATCGGGCAAGTGGGCATTTCTTGTTAAATTGACATTCATTTTTACCATTAAAATATCTATATTTTTTGAAAGTTACAAAGGTAATAAGGTCTTGAAATTTTCATCTTCAAAGTATTTCACTGAGAACCCTATAAAGGGTTAAGGAGGAATTTAGAGGCAGGGAATTTAAGAACAAGGAAAGCTAATAAAAAGAAACATCAAATGTTTCCATCGTATTTCTTTAAACCATGTATATTCCAGTTGTGTCATAACTGACAGTTAACTGGGAGGCTCATCTAATCCAGGTAGGAGTGGCTGCAGTGTTGGTACGGAAAATGTTATGTAATGAATTTACGCAATCTGACTGATGGGGAGGGAGGGGGGTTGTTTGATCATGATCATTAGGATGCTCATAAAATGTCAATTTATGAAAACAAAAAAACTTAAAGTGCTCTTAAAGATCAGCATTTCAGAAGTTTTTTAAAACTGTTTATTTTTGGGTTGTTATGAATATTTTAATTTGTTGTGTCTGCGTGTTAATTTGGGAAGTTTAATAAAATAGTCGAGGAACCGGTTTAATTCTATGTAGGGTGGCTGGGGTGTTTTTTGTTTGTTTTTATTAATAAAGATAACTGTGTTATTTTACTATCTTTCT